TGTGCCTTAAATAAATCCGCTAATTTTAATTTTCAATCCGACAATTTCCTTTTAAGTTTTATTCATAATTTTTAAAGGTCGGAGAACTCCTCTTTGTTTTCACACGCCTTGATGGCCGTTTTCCAAGTGAGCTTTACGAATATCAACAAAAATGGATCGCTCATTTCACTTTGGCACAACTACCTAATGTCGTTAGTTACTTGTACTAAGTAGGTGTCATTGACATACTAAATGTGTAACTCGCATTTTTAAAGTACCGGAACCGCGGGCCAAATGGGGATTAAAACCGGTAATGGCTGCGATTTTCCCCTTCGCCAATTTCATTTCCATTTCAATAAATGAAATTATGGAAATGTTCAATAATTTAATTTTAATCTTGTTCTGTTGAGTTAAACACCAGAACTAATCTCATCACAAGATTGGTATTAATAAGAAAGCAAAATTTGCACACCTTCACACGTGTACCTAATTTCATTAAGTACAAGTGAATAGTGCTGTAGTGCTAATTTCATTTTATTTACTCTTGTTTTAATCTATTCTGATTATTGTTTAATGTCTCAATTATACTTTCTAATTTTAATTCTTTAGATGTAGTAACATCAGAGTAAGGGAGATCCGGTGCAATTCAAGAAAATTACAACTGTTAAATTAAACTTTTAACATAGGCGGTTGGGAACTTCCACAAAAAATAGTTTATTTGCTATTGATCTATGAGTAGTTAAATGTTTCTCGAAGAAAAGGTCCTTTTTTCGAATTTTTGATTTTATTTGAGTCAAAGTTTAAGCTAGAAATGGATAGCTTCAGTTCAAGTTTTGTAACGTTTACTTTTTGAAGGTCTACATTAAAATAACAAATTTGAACGACTGAGTCAATGTTAGTAACATTTCCTCAACAATAGAATTAGGTTTCTTTTATGTGCCTCTGAAACATTACTTAATTGTAAATGAATAATGTAATACAGCGTGATATACATACTCAACAAAATCAACTCAATTTACATTAATTAACATTACTTTTTATTTATTAATGTAGGTTTTTTGAACTTTGATGTCATCCAATTTTTTCTGTATAATATTTTGATTATTAGTATTGCTATTTCACTAATTTAATCAAATTACTTGCTCAATTTTTGTTTATGTTCTTATACATAATTTAAAAAGGTATGTACTAATTAGTTCCTCTATTGCTAAAAAAAGACAGTATAAGGTCGTCTACTCCCCCATCTACAGTTACCAACTCAATTCGATTACTAACGAAATCATGTCTTCCCAATAGGTCAACGATTTAATACCGAATAGAATTGCAGTTACTTATTGATATAAAACACGATATTAACACGGCGATAACGTTCGAAATATGCGCTATAAAAATTCATCGAACGTACCGTACTTACTTTCTCTACTTACGCGGGTAAGAACAAGGAGAGGGAACTTCTTAGATGACCATATATGGTTACAATAATTCTTTCTACACCGCATTAGGTATGCGTTCAATTATCGACTTACCATATATATCGAGCGAATGAAAATTGTCCCAACACCCATTCCCATTTTTGAATGGATGAGTACGTTTTTGGCCGTGGAGTAATCATTGGATTTAATTCGGTTTTATGGGAATTAGCAAGTCAAATAGTAAGCGCGGAGAGGATTTGTGTTTGCGTGATTTTAACTCAAGGGAATTCTAATTTGCACGCATTAATCCACCCGTGGTTTTCGGATAACGTGTCACAAGGACGATGATTATTGAATTACTAAAAGATTGCTTGAATGCCTTCGTTTGTAGCTGTTAGAAAATTAATCTCTTGCGCACATGTTTGTAAAACGCCCATCTGATAGTGAGATCGAATTTTTCAAATCATCCAAAAAATGCTACCCGTAGACCAGACACCTAGAAAAAAATCCAAAAGAAGATCTGTAAACGTTTAATCATTTTTGAAGGTATAAGAGGTTTTTAAATTTTGCGTTTCCTTGGATTTCATTTTTAATCTCCCCTATACCACTTCCAGGGTTGAAAAAAAGTGGGTGGTTTGTATGAACGATACCATACAGAGAGATTCACGAAGCCTAATTTGTTGTAGTTGAAATAGGGACTAGAAGTTTGGTTTACAGCCATAATCGACCATTGCGAATTGAAATAAAATAATTTCAAGATGGCGTCGCTGCCGTAAATATCGGAAGATGGCGCCATCTTGGTTTTTTTTAAATATAAATATACCATTTTCTAGTTTTCCCTAAATGCGCAATTTTATTCTGAATTTAGCGCATTTAAGATTTGTCATTGTTTTTTACCATGGCAATTTTTGAAGATGCGCATGTGTCCATTCAAAAATTTATATCTTTTAAACCGTTCAAGATCAGTATAATCGAATCCTTAAAGTCTAAGGAATTTTTTGAGTGATCGCTGAAAGTTTTGAAAAGGTTTCTAAGGCTGCTGCGGTTTTAAAAAATTAGCAATACAAAAATGTCAAAAAATTTGAATTTTAGGGACACTTTCATTAATATTCTGTATACCTATCCCTGTAGTTTTTGAGATATTGGCATTTTTTTAAAGAACTACTCGTATTTTTTCATTACGTGTGATCGGCTTTGGAAGCTATATCGACCAACATGCATAAAACGCAAGAAATGAGGAGTGCAATTTAATTAAAACGTTAATAATCCAAATTCAATTCAAGTTCTCTCATAATTCCACGAGAGTAGCTCTAGGGACTTCATTGAATACAAGGAAGGAAAAAGAGCTCCTGAAAAGCTTCCAGAAAATGTACTCGCTTAGTTTCTTACTTTTCCAATTTGCATTTTATAATTGCACATTATAATACTATGCGATCAAAAATGCGTGACTGTCGCGTAACCTTTGGACCTTTTTGACAGCAACTCATTTTTGATGGCCAGTTAGTTTTAAACCTGTACGACACCGTCGCGGAACTTATCTCCCTCGTATTCATACTTTACACCGATATTTAAAATATTATGCCACCATATTTACGGAAATGAATGTATTTACTAAGACTATTATGTAACGGAGCCCGATATTCACACCAAGGGCTCACGGTGTGAAGAATACACATTATATTATTGTTGTTAATGGTTAAGAGCCCGCCTTTGGTTAGAACATGAACTGTCTCGCCATAACAACAATATGATTGGGGTTTAAAATATTTTATAACATATAGGGTTTCACGACCCACCACATCACAGTATTCCAGGGGCGGACTGGGTAACTGCGGGCCAGGTGGAATTATACACTGCCTTTTTTTGAGCCCCGAAAAAAACATTGTCTCAGATCGCCCCGGAAAAAAATTTTCTTATAAAATGTGGCCTGTAGAATCCATAATTTCAAACAGTTCCAAGATTGGGCTACTAGTTCAAAAGTTACAGCCCTTTGAATTTTTTTTCGAAATTGGTTTCTAGTCTATAACTTTTGATTGAGAAGTCTGATCGAAAAAGTACGAATTGATTTGGATTCTACGCACACAAATTAATAAGAAAAAGTGTTTTCCCGAGAAACTTTGGTGTAGTCGATTTTTGGTAAAAAAGGAAGGCTATACCTGCCTTTTTTTGAGCCCCGAAAAAAAAAGTGTCTCAGATCGACCCGGAAAAAAAATTTTCTTATAGAATGTGGCCTGTAGAATCCATAATTTCAAACAGTTCCAAGATTGGGCTACTAGTTCAAAAGTTACAGCCCTTTGAATTTTTGTTCGAAATTGGTTTCTAGTTTATAACTTTTGATTGAGAAGTCTGATCGAAAAAGTACGAATTGTTTTGGATTGTAAGTACAGCTGATAATTAAAAGTAACAAAATATAGAATCCACACGAGGTGCGTCGCCTATCATTGTATTTCAGCACTTTCATGCTACGACAAAAAATGATAAATTCATTGTAAAACACTTCAATTAAAACAGAATTTTTTAACAACCTAACATCAACCCCAATTAGAGAAACGTGTTAATAATTTATTAATAGTGCAAGAAACTAAATACAGCTTATAAATTTCCAACGGGCATTATGATCTACAGGCCAGGTTGGCAATCGCCACTCGCCCCCCCCCCCGTGCCAGTCCGCCCCTGCAGTATTCCATGAGTATTGAAAAAGCATCACAGATGGTGGAAAATACCATTGCAAACAAATCCAACATAAAACAAACAAAACCCTCGATTCATCGCACAAGCCGATCACAAAAATCGCTTTTGAATTTTAAAAGTCGTACTTCAATTCTGAAGTGACCATCCTGCGAATTGTTTAAATATAAAATACACGTGGAAAGATACAAAACTCGTTTGTAAAATAACACTACTTGACTCGGCCCCAAAAGGGTCTCGTACTTCAATATTTCTTCGCCAGTAATGTGCCATTTTCCTGACTTATATAAGTAACTATTATGTGAACAACGAAATTACTACGTATTTACATACAGAAAACATCTCGTACGCGCAATCTACAGTAACCAACAAATCTACCCCTAAATACGGCCCTTGCACGGACTGTAGCAGGTAGAAATTAATTCCATAAAGGTTAACACCAATTTTCCTCCAAGAGTTATATAACTTAAAGTTTTACTGCAATTTTGTTTATTTACCAAACGTCTCGTTAACAAAAATGAAAGGGAATTATCCTAGGGTGGCAACCTTACCCAATTATAATCCTTTCAACGCATAATTAAATCTCAATCAGAAAATTGCAATCGCTGAATCTGGAACGAGTATGTCACTTCTGGTCGCGTATCAATTTAAATATCATTAACGCAATCAGCAACGATCAATTAAGCAAGTTTCCCAATCGATTGCAATAATCTCTCACACTCCGTAATGATCCCTTTACCGTAATTTGAATTTAAATTGCCATATAATTTGCTAATATTTATACCATTGCTTTCTTCTGGCGTAATTAAATTTACAAGGAAAAATAAGGATATTCTAAACATTTTAACAGCGCCATTAACTTTTTAATGGGGCTTCTTATAGGTAGTAGTATTTGATGTAAAAGATACGTTTTTTTTCTAGGACGGAAGTTCAGGGGTCATCGGAGATGAAGTCGGCGCAGGTAGAAATTCGAAAAGGTGAGTTGCCTTTGTTAATAATAATGGTTTAAGGGGGGAGGGGATTAAAAAGACAAAGTGTCATTGTTTGGAATTATTACCGTTCGAGATGCATGTAATTTTGGCTACAACAATACCTCGATGTTAACCTACATATGCATATTATTCGTGCCTGAAATTATAGGTTTGCTCTTTAATGTGGCACAAGATTAACTTTCTTTGTATAAGGGAAAAGGTAATCGTCGATTTGTCAATTACATAAATTCCGGTCGGCCAGCTTCCGAAATTCGTACCGGGTCATCGAGAAAGTGTGTTAAATTAATAAAACAATCGAGATAATAAAAAAAACGAGATCGATTGGTGCAGATTTATGAATCATTTCTATTCGTGCTAATTTGCGTATGTGTAGGGGGTTTACTTTCATTTTTTGTTGTCACCCGTTTGCATTTGTGCACTACAAACCGCTTTCTTGAGAGTGTACTGAAAGTGCACTTCATTTAATTAATATTCCAATGTACTACCAGTAATCTAAATTTATATTTATTAATCAGTAGCCTATTAACGGCTCACCGTAAGCAAAAATTGACACCCTTTTAAGTAGGTAACATTTGTTACTTTTACTTCTTCGTTATCCTAACTAGAAATTAGCACCAACGTACTAAATAGTTCCTCGCTGTCCAACGATTGAAAACAGATCGCTAATTGCCTACAACTAGGTAATTTGGGTTCCGGTATAAGTCGGAAGTGAGAAAAGTCACCGTTAAATTATTTATAGCTGTGACCATATGCTGCAGGTATAAATTACGGCTATTAACGTATAATGGAAGCCTATTATTAAAAAAAAACAAATTCGCCATAGAACATAAATTATTACAGTGCGTCAAGGCGTTGTTTCCAAAGCGAGAAAAAATTCCAAGATTTAATTATGTGTTTATTGCAAGACAGTATTCGAAATCGGTGTTCCCCAAGGATCCACGATGGGCCATTTCATCTGATTTCAAGCATCTCTAATACAGTACCATTGCTTGTATTAAATATGTTAATTTTAAAGCAATTGTGATTTGATAAACAACAATTGCAAATGATCACCAATTAACCTTGCTTTGTCCTTAGCTCGTTGACCCAAGGATCGACGAATCGGCTTCCAATAAGATTGCTTCTAACCACAGGTGTCTACAAAAGTGTTTTTTAAATGAATCTTTCTTCATCACACGAATCCTTTCCAAAAGAAGGTGTCGGAGAGGGCGGTTTGTTACATCATGTGTGCACGCGTGAAGCACTACTTGCTAGTCCGGTAAATAAGTTATCGGACCTAAACTCAATTTTTTAAATAGAACGTCCTGTATATTTTAATCTAAAATGAAGCATATTAAATTCTTTTAAAAAATTTAAGGTAGTCATATAGGGCCGATTCTAAATCACACTAGGCTAAATAATCACTAGAAAATTTATTAGAGTTGAATGTGAAAGAGGGCAAAAGCTAAGAATGATTCAAGATTCAAAAAAGATTAAAACAAATTTAAAAATTTTGTGTTTGAATCTTTTTGAGCCTTTATTAAATTTTTTTGAATCACTTTAATCGTTTTTGAATCACTGACGTGTTAATTGAAAAAAATAATTTAATCTGTTTTTTTTTAATTAAAAAATGAGCCTGGTATAACTGTATACTTATTTTGAAAACGAAAAATTATTAAACAATTATTATACAGAAACCTTTGTAGTAAACATTTTTTTGTATCTCTGAACTAAAAAAATATAGTCATTCTGAAATTGACAATTTTTACTTTTCCCCCCTTTTCTGTTAAGCGAGCGAATATTTTCAAATTTTAATTTTACTATTTCAAATTTGACCCAAAAAGAGCGCATGACGCCTATGTTACCTATTTGATACCACTAACAATTACGCAGACGCTCTATAAAAGTGTCAAAAATGGATCACCCTAATTTTCAAACTTGGTCGTGCTATAAATTAAAAGTAATCAATTCGCGTTTGGTCATCAGTGCAACTTGTTACTTTCCAATTTAAAATTTCGATTATTTAGCATTTGAACTACGGAAAGTTGACCCGTACATTTAAAAATAAATTGTCAATACTAAGCAATAATCACGTAGTTTATATCGCTAAATAAATATGTGCGGAATTCTTTGGTGTTTTTTTTGGGTATAATAGAAAACTTCAGCTTAGAAAATTCGCGTACGAACTATTGAATTGAAGTTCGCGTGAGTGTTACAGTAGAATTAATAGAGCCCTTTCCAATTATGTGTCACTCGACCCAACGTTCAATTTAAAATCATTGAAGGGGTGGCAACGCGCTTAGGGGGTTGACAGCAGAGGTGTAAATTTTTAAGTAGCAGACGTCCCCCTTGCAACCAAAATCGACGTGTTTTTGCGTTTTTTCCAAAAACTATTTCCTTGCGAGTTATTCAATCTGTTTCGTTTTCGTTATGCCACTCTGTATAAAGTTCGGTTATGCCAGGGGGGGGGGTCCAACCGACACTGCGTATTCGATTATCAACATCCAAAAATTACAACATCTTGAATTAATTACGTCCTTCCCAGACGGCTTAAAAATACGGGACTGGTGTCAAAATTCAAATTTTTTGCACCTAACGCATGTAATCTCAACCCATTCAACTAATTACGGATAATTATACTTATCCACATAGTCGGAATGAAATCTCAAAATTCGGCAGTCCAGTAATGCCTCTTTCCCTTTGCAATTTTGGGTCAAACGGCAGGGTCTCCCCCTGCCATTCATTGCCCATTGCAGAGTGTCACTTTTTTTAAGAAATAATTTCTATCCTTTCGATGAAAAAATGAAAGAATATGTTGTCATTTGAGAATTACTGTCAATTGTCGCTTACCAATTGTCAATTGGTGCTCAATTCAGTAATTAATAATTCGTAGCCAATGGCAAGTTGTCCGTCCGCCTGCTAATTTCAAATGAAAAACGTAATTATTTCGCGTAAGAGGATTGAAGTGGATTTTTTCCAATTCTAAAAAAATTATTATTGATTCGGTATTTTTATGTTCTACTTGCAACATTTATATGGTCGAAAGTGTGAAAAGTATTTTTGTTTAAAATATTTGGTTCTGCTGACGAAACAAAATTATTATGTATTGTTCAAAAATAACAGCAGGATATACTGTTGTTCAGATCTTTGATCAATTAAATGTTTAATTGCGATATTAATAAACTAATAATATCAATCAATCAAATAAGCTTTATTGCAAAAAATATTTGCATATGCATGAAGTACACAACATTAAGAATAATCTCGAGAATAATGGAGTCGAAATGCTATGTATTAATTAAAAAAATACAATCTATCAATCTTATTACCTTATTTATCTCAGATAATCATAAAGTGTCAAAATACTCCTTTAAATTGTAGGGTTTTATTAAAAGTGATTTTGCTTTCTTAATAAAGGGGTTACTGCTTCTTAATTGTTTTATTAGCATTCATAAATTGGTTATTAGAATTTCAACAACCATTCAAGAATAATGAAAACGAAAGATTTAGTAATAATATTCACTTTACTTGCGGATCTATTTTTGTTTTTTTTAGAAATCAGTCAATGAATAAGTTCATAACCAATCGTCATTATTCCGGTTATAAGTACACTAAAAAAGACGGAAGAGACTCTTTTTCATCAAGTGGAAATGTTATGTTCTGTTGGTTCTCGTTCGATTTATTTGAAAACACTTTGGTCGGCGGCTGCCTGGTAGCAAATGAGGGCGGGAGGAGATTGCTTTTAGAAAGACGAGGGGTGTACGTATACATATCGGGCTGTGTAATTAAGAACTTTGGGAACTACATGATGTGGGGTCGACGACATCTGGGCGCCATCCCCGAGCGTGGTTTACTAATGTGGTGATTTGTCTTCAAAATTTTAAACGCGAATTGTAGGTGAGCGGGTCGTCGGAAGTGAGTACCGAGAAATAGAATGTGGTAACCCCGGAAGAGTTCCGACTGATGATTGAGTCAAAATTTCAAACGCGAATTGCGGCTGAACGGGATGTCGGAAGTGGGTACCGTCAAAGAGAATGTGATAAGACTCTGACAAGATCTCATTGATGGCCTGAAGTCTCTTCGGTCTCACACGAGCACTTTGATTTTTTTTTTCAACGCCTTTGTACAGGGTGTAAGTAAACATTGCGATTTCTTTCCTCTTTTAACTTCACCTAGAACATTGTATGATAAAAATTGTTCTAACTGTTCATTGTAAAGAACATCAACAAGGTATTGTGATATTAAATTAACTCCGTTTAAAGTGGAACGGAGCCCAGCCCAATCTAAATTCGTAACCTTTACAAGCAAGACGGAGTGGCTCGCCATTGTCTCTATAATTAAAAAACGTAATGGCTTGTCGTGAGAATGACGTTTATTGTAATGCAAAAGAGCGACGGCGGCGTAAAAATCCCTGAAGTCTATTAGCCAAAAATTAAATGCACATTGACTCCACACCGTGCAATAATGTCACAACACAGAAAAAGTGAAATTTGCAATTATAATCACAAACGAAGCGTGCTCAATTCACATAATTGAAATTCAGCTTTGAAATGTAACGGTCCATTATTCAAGCGAGAGAGTTTTCTTCTGCTTCTTCTTTCTTAAATTGTCGCCATTAAATCGACATCATCATCATCATCACCACCACCATCGTCACCGCGAAAGGCAATTTGTAGAAACGTGAGTTGAAAATTACAAAAGTACAGATGGGATCCCGCGCAAGTGGTATATCAAAACACAATAAGTAACGAGGAAGACGCACAATATCTGGGTTAATTATTTTCACATAAATTATATAATCGTTATGTACCGACTTTGATTGTGTTTTATTTTCTTTGTGTATAATTAACTTCCTTATTTTTATGGGTCCCCGCAGAGTAAGTAATAACTGACTTGTCGAATTTGTATTGCGTAAATGATGTTTCTTACCAAAATTGGAGTTTTTTCGCTTTGGTTGTCGGATTTCATAAGTAGACCCGTTTCAGTTGCTTAACAAGAGAGATACA